ACACGTCTTTGAACAATGAGCCAAAATAAACCTCTCCTCTCTTAATTTCCCTCTGTCAGGTATTCTGTCACAGCAATGAGAAAAGTTACTAAACCGTACATAAAGTATCATCAGGGGCAAACATAAAACACTTTTCAATGATGTTGTAAGAATTCTGATGAGTAAATAACAAACCAATTTGAGGATTAAAAATGACAAGGACAAATTCAAATAAGAATCCAGGGCTCTAGACAGTTCTGATACTGTGAGTGATTTTCATAATCCAGTTATTTGGTTTCCATCTAGAAGATCAGAAAATAATTTGGATTTAACATTCTAGCTCTAAATTCTGAAATCCAGTACGTCTGAAATCAATGCTGTTCTGTCATTTCAGATGCACCCTATTGGAATTCAATACAGAATCTCAGAAATGGAATGTATAAGTCATTTGGGGATTTTTGCTATTTTATTTCCCAAGAACAGAAGTATATGGGCCAATGGCCACCTCAGAGTGCTAACATCCAGACACTCTCTCAACAGTCTCTTCTCCCAGGCAAGGGGACAAATAAGAATACCAGAACATATTTTAATTCAGAGAAAATTATTATCTTGGTACCTTTTCATTCTGAATCACCAAATCAAATTGTAGAAGTCTGATCCCCCTGCTAACTACACCCAGTTCATTTACAGGGTCTCATGAGTCCTGGGTGAATGGGAAAGAGCTTCCTCATTTCATAGCCTTCCATGGCAGATAAATGACAGCCGAGAGGTAGCTATCCCTACAATGTACCTAGTCACTCGCACTAGAAAACAAACTGACAGGCCTTTCCAGGAGCTAATTACTGAGCCTGCTATTTGGTTCTCTGACAAAATTGCTTGTTTGTGGGAAGAAACATATTTGTGCATTGCTTTTTCCATTACCACTATTTCGATCATCATAAATAAGAATCAATAGGCCATTTCATGTAGCATATGCTTACCACCATTTATAATCTCACTGTCAGCTGTATCCAGACTAAGCCACATGCCCTGACCTCCTTGCTGAGGATTAAAACCCAGCAGACAGGGGAAGCACTTTGGATTGAACAAGACAGTACTCATTTGTGAGTTCCTGGGGGCAGGACAGGAACATTGTTTCTCTCTAGAGCTGCAGTACAGTGACTGGTACATAGTAGGCTATTCAAATGAATCATCACGTTGAATGAATACTGGGTGAATAAATGGGACTAACAGAAGGTTCTAAGGCAGTAAATGGAGTTGATTGGCTTTATTGGGTTGGTAAGAGGATGTTTTGACAAGGTCAGAAGTATCTATAATTCCTGGTGGGGAAACAAAGGCAAAGACACAGTGTGAACTGAAAGGCCTTTGAGATGAGAGCTCGAGTCGATATGTTGGTCCATGCAATATTCACAATTGGGTCCTCACAAGAGAATGCATGAAGAGGGAATCACAGCACTTAAAAGAGGAGCGACAACTCTTAAGAAAACCTCTCCCCTTCCAGTGGCAATCTTGCTGAACCAAACACTGTCAAGGAAGGGTCTGATCTGAGGGAAACAATGGAAAGAAGAAGCAATAAAGAGGACAATGGGAGGCTGAGGCAGGGGCCAGGGCGAGGAACTAGAAACTGGATGAAGACAGGGAAGCAGTGAAGACCGCTTCTCGGGAGTGTGTGGTGTCTGGTGAGACATTAATGCTGAGAACAGAAATGAAGGAAGAAGGGAGGCGAAGGTCAGATAAGTGTCTATAAAATAACACCCATCACCACTGATAACGAGCATAAAAGAGTCCTTTTTCTCTTCTTGAGAAAGACAAAGGGAATTTTAAGTAGGATTAAGTAGTGGTAGCTTTCAGAACTCAGCAGCTCTCAGAAGCAATAATAACTACATAAATAGCTAAGTGGAGGATAGGAATTGCCTCACTTGGAGTGTGGCCAGCATATCAGAAGTTAGCAGCACTGACACATCTTTCTGAAAGCTTTCCTGAGAGTCTAGGGGGGAAATCATCTTGCAGAACTGTCTGAACCATGTTAAATGTTGGGAAGAGGATGCTCCTCACTGCTGGAAGATACTCTGTCTCCTGAAAATTAATAAGACAGAAGCCCACCCTGCTGGGAAGCATACTCTTATCCATGTAAATATATTGCCAGCATCACCCTCAGGAGGAGTAAATTGCTACATTCACAGATTACCAGAGTCTGATATAAAATTTTACTCAACACACACAATACATAAGTGAGCTTCAAAATAGGGAAGGGAGCCTTAGGAATCAATGGATCTAAAGACTGTGGATTGAAATCATCAAACCCATGAACTAAAATACATCCTTCCTTCTTTTAATGTTTCTGTCAATGATTTTTTCCACAAAGATGAGAAAAGTAACAGATACACTGTCCTTATAAACCTTCCATTAAGTGGTCCGTCTCTATTTCCCACTGTTCCTTAATATGAATCCTCCTGTTTGATAATCTGGACCACTTCAATGTTCAGACATATCCCCAAAACACCCTACTCTGTACATTTGACCTGTGAACCCACTTTTTCCTTCATTTTAGGTGTACTTTCCACATTCTTCTATTGACCAAATATTTCCTTGTACTTATAGCCATGTATTTTTCTGAACTTGCTTTATATCTAGGTTAAAAATTAGCATTTAATCATGAAATTGGCACCTTTGTTGATGTATCTGTCTATGTATAACATTTTCCCCAAACAAATACCATTATTCGGGTAATCCCCAGTTTCTAAATTAATGTGCCCTAGGGGCCTTTAAAACCTTCCCCTTTATTTCATTCTCAAGCTTTCTTAGTGTACCTAATTTATTTCTTTGCCAAACTTCTCTTTTGAAAGCACCTTTTCTTCCACTGTCACTGTTCTGTCCTGTCCTTACCACGCAGGGTTTCTATGTCCCTTTCACACTTTTTATCTCTTCTCCACACCTCTCTGGGACACTGCAGCTACAAGTGATGTGTCTTTCCCGCCTGCGGAGGAAGAGCAAACTTGACTCTCAGATCACCTCCCTGGAAGAAGCTTACCATTCTGTTTCCTTTTCTGATTCCTTCCCTTGGGTTTATATCACCAGTCTTCACCTTTCCCAATCTCCTATGATAAATGCATCTGTGTCCTTTTCTCTAATTTCTGAGTCTCCATTTATGACCCTTTAATTTGAGTTTTTAATGATCTCCCTGTAGGGTCCCAGACCTTATGCTGCCACCTGCTGGGCAAGTCCATGAGCTTGTATCAGATTCAAGTTAGTTCTCAAGTACCCAAGGATCTACCTTTTTTTTTTTTTTTTTTTCCTATTGCTGTTATTTCTGCCAACTAATTACATCACCATTTTCATAATTTTTCTAGACCTTCCTGATATAAACTCAAAGTCAGGACCTCCATCTCTTACCTTTCCTGACCCAGTGCTAATCACTCACTGTGTACTAAAAACATCTACTAGAGCATCTGTGTGCCCCATACTGCCCTGGATGGTGACTGCCAGTTGCCAGGATTACTGGCTGAGTCCACTGACTGGCTCCTTTTTCTCCCCTGAACCTTACCTAGTCCTTCTTACTTCTGTTGAAAGAATCTTCTTGAAACCAGTATCTGAGCAGTTTGTCTGAATGAAAAACCCCAAGTTACTCTGCCCTATAAGTAGGATGAAGCCCAAACTTCAAGCACATTCCTTATTTTTCCTTTTATATTGTTCGGTGCTGTCAATCTCTCTTTTACTCAAAATTCTCTCACACCCTGGCTTCCCAGAGCTCTGTTTTTCTAGCCTTAGATCCTGGAATACGCTGTGTTCCTGTTCTCTTCACATAACGGCAAAGTGTCTCTCAAATGTCACCTCCCACAAATGTCACACAAACTACTGCTGTCCTTGCTCCCAACCCTCCCATGTGAATCTCCCTCAGACTCTGGCTATCCTCACTCCCAATCCCACTGTGTCTCTCTTCCATATTTTTAAAATTTCTCCTGAATGTGTTTTAGCATCTGGAGGTTTCTATTCATTTTCATATGTACTTGTTTAGTGCCTGTCCCCTCTGACTCATGTGTAAACTTGGGAACACAGATCCTGTCTCTCTTCACTCATTCACCTCCTGAAAAGCCATTGGCACTGGAAGTCCAAAGTAAGACTTCTTTGCAATGTGACACCAATTTTTGTATCTTCATATTCTTTCTGATTATATGACTGTGATAGCATTTAACATTTACCACTTTATTTGAACAGCTGCTTCATAAGGACAAGAAGCAGACAAAAAGTAGGACATATCAAAATATAGGTGAGTAGTGGAAAAAATGTTCAAGTGTTGTAGGTTTTAGTGTAAAAATTATCCCTAATGGTATACTTACTCCTGCTATGAACAAAACTCTTCAAATATAATTTTCAATGTATTCATTTATAATTATAAATGCTAAGTAATTGCTAAGGTTCCATAGCAGTTTCTGTGTACACGATCATGTTATCTTCAAATAAATGCAGCTTTATTCTTACATTCAAAAATGGACATTCAATATCATTATTATTTTAACTATAAGCTAGAGAAAGTAAAAGCATCGGAAATCACAGTTGCTCTAGAACAGCCATCACACTAGATGGAAAATAATAATATAATGGAAAAACACATTAGAATAGCTAGAAAATATTTGTCTTATAACACTTGATCCATTACTTTCACAAGATTCGAATTCCTGAAGAATACCACATCCTGCCAATTTGTCTGCATCCTATGAAACCGATTAAAGTACTTTTCCCAAAGTAGACATTTAAAAAGTACTACTCAGATACAATGAAAAGACTCCAGTGCTGCCCACATGCTATAGGTTGACTATATACTAGTTCATCGACTGTGAGAATCAATGAACAAGCCTCAGCTTAGTGCATGATCATCTCATTCTAATCCCTGCAAAGAATCCACAGGAGACCCAAGAAAACAGAGGACATGTCCACTGTGACTCACACAGAAAAGCACTTCCTTTCTCTGGCAAGGCTTAAACAAGTGCACCAAGGAAAGCATTTGAGAGTTGAGTGGCTACCTGTGCATTTCTTTATGTGGCTGTTCCTCTTTCCATGTGATCCCAACTTGCATCCAAAATTCTCCTCCCAAAATTCTGCAAACCACACGTTTCTTCGATTATTGGCAAGAGTTCGGCTTCTAAAGTATCGATCAAACCCTATTTTAAAGAAAAAAGGTATGACCTTAATATCCTTTCAGAATCAAAACTAAATACCATCAGAACTTTTGAACAGATATTACGTTGCTTATTGTATGATAAACATTATGATACGCATGACATATATATCAAACAAACACATATGGTTATTTTCTGTCTCCTAGGATGAATCACTGTTTAAGCCTTCCCTCTGTCTCAACCCATTCCCAACACAGTCTCCTATGTTCTGTTTTCAGCTAATTCAATAAGGCAATCAGTGCTAATAAAATCTTATAGAGTCATGGGTAAGTAGTCTAAATGATTAGCTTTCTCAGGTAACCACCTCATTTAGGGGAAACCATCTAGAAATAATGCCTTTTGCCAAAGAATAATGTTAAAGGGAGGAATGCAGGTCACTGTGAAGAGTATTGGGATGATATTTAGGAAATGGACTGTCTTTCAGAGTTTTTCCTAATCTTTCCTGTTTTATTTATTTATCCACAAGGTCAATTAGCACCAGGAATTCTGTTTTTCTCAATCAAGTGGTTTTTCTTTCCTCCAGCAATCCTATAACCCTCATAAATGTCCATAGAAATGTGTAAAATTAAAGTATAATTACTAGCATTGTGGAGATACCTAATTTTAAAAATGGCTCTTTCATACAGAAAAATATCTAATGTATTCTCTTTCACATATACTGGTTGTATAATGGAGATGACTACTGTGCCCTCAGAACTATATATTCCATCCAGAACATCAATAATGAGAATACTTCATTTCACTCTGACACTCGAGATTTGTCTTTGAAGGTTTCATTTTTTTTCTTTCCTCCAGTGTTGCAGATCAAACCTCTAGAGCTTTGTTCACACTAGTCAAGTGGTCTACCACTGAGCTACATCCCCAACCTGCTTTGGAATTTTGATTCAATTGAAATGAAACAAATAACTCATGTTGCATCCTTACCATCAATTGATGCCCTTTTGGGCAAAATTGTCACAGCCCCCTCTGCAATTTCCTCCTGCTGATAGACAGGTGCTATTTTGGAACCCCAACTATCTGAGCCAATCCATAGAAAATGCCCACTTTGATTTAATTTTTTGGCTGCTTCCAATATCCTCCTATAGAAATAAAAAGAAATAAAACATACCTTACTTATCGAGAAACACCACATGTGAACATCATAACTACTGCTGAAATCTAAATGTGTCCCACAAATTTCTTGTATCATGGAAACTTAATTAATAAAATCCTGTGTTAGTGGTTTAGAAGAAGGGTTCTTGAGGGTGGCCCCAAGGATGGCATGGGTGATCTTACAAGGAGAGGAGCAGAGCTCAGCTTGAGAAGCCGAGCTCTCAATGTCTCTCAGGACTCTGACTTGCAGTGTCCTCCATATCTTGACCCAGCAAGTAGCCCCTGACCAGTCATCAAGAAGAAGCTAGAACCTTGCTCTTTAGTTTCCAGGTCCAAAAGCCAAACAAGCTTTTCCCCTTTATGAATTATCCAGTCTGCAGTATTCAATGATAGCAATAGAAAGCAGACTAACACAACCTGCTTCATTAAGTTTAATACACTCAGTAGGTCACTATTAAACAATTAGTCAATCATTCTAAGTGCTTGAGTCTCATCATCCCCTAAAGGAAATGCAACTGAGATGCCAGCACACGTTAATTAGCCTAATCCTTCACCTGTTCCCATCACTTTGCCTCTCCTCCTTATTTTACTCATCTCACTCATTGCCGGTTTTACTCTCTAAGCGTTGCTGACGCATAAGCTAGAAGACTGTTGTGTCTACAGCAGAAGGCAGTCTGTGATAGCAAAGGATCATAGCAACACAAGCTTTTGACATCGTACGTAAGTACATTTGGAAAGGATGTGGGGGTACAAATTTGATCCTATACCCTGTGGAAAGATAATCAGTACCTGATGTCATCCTCATTGGCAAACATAATCACCGCTCGAGCATTAGGTGTTTCTAGCAGGCGTTTGATAATTTTTTCAAACTCTCCAGGTCTTGGTTCACGTGGGATTTTCTGTGACTGAGCAATGCAAACACCACCTGTTTGAAGGGGAAAATAGTGTGATTTAGAACAGCATTTATTGAACTAAAACTCAATGAGGTTAAGTACTGTATAAAAGCACATGATTTAGTGCAAGATTGTATTACTCTAGCCATTTGTCATTTTCGCCTATTGAAAGTGATCATGTTTATTTATTTGCATTATAATATATGCACCAAATAAATAACATCAGTACATAAGTGTGATTTTCTTCCCCAAATGTGAACATTATTTTTCTAGGTGTATATATAAGAAAAGCAATGTGTGTTAAGATGTGTGATGAGATTCTGGAAGGAAAAAGGACCCTTCTGATTGACTTATCATAAGCTGAAACACAAATGGCAGGATTGATAAAAAGTCTGACTATGTGATTCAAGTGAAACCTCTACTAAGTACGATGCTTCTTCTTTTGCTTTCATTTAGTAGATCCCATTTAAAGTTAATTTTGCTTTATTACTAATAGGACTGCAGCAAGACCCTCATGCCTCAGCACAATATGTTATGATGCAAATAGTCTTCAAGGATATCCAAGCAAGTCTCAATCATAAAAATAAATAGCTATTTCAGCCAAAACAAATAAAAGGGAAAAGAGAGGGAGAGGGAAAGAAAGAGATGGAGGGAGGGAGACAGGACTCTTCTTTTAGCTTCTTCTAAAACAACGAGAGGCTAAAGAAAAGTTAAGACAGGATCTCTGTCTCTGAGATTGAATAGGAGTAGAAGAAACGTTTACCTAATTGCAGTGGAGCAGAGACAAAAACATATTCTAGCACTAGAAGAGAAAATAATGTTAGCAACAGGCTTCAATTGTATTATAGATTAAATGGGCTTTTTTGAGTCAGCTGAGAATTAAATCACCATTTGTAGCACTGCCTCAGTAGGCAAAGGAAGTTTTACTTCCAAACAATGGGCAATAACTTTGGTCACCCAACAATTATTGATGCCATTATATTATGCTTTGTGCCTGACCCTGACTCTAAACCAGGAGATACCATGTAGTCTCAGAGACAGATACTGTAATAAATTATCATGGAATATGTAATAAACTCTGGAATTACCAAAGTACATCATACAATGGGAGCAAAGAGGAAAGAACAGCAAACGTGCTTGAAAAAGTTAGATTTAAAAGAGCAAATATACATACATATGTGGGGAAAACATGGGACCTTTTAGGTAGCATGCAAGTTATGAAAGAACGTAGCTTGATGTCAGCCTGGAGTATAAATTGGCTAAGGTTGAGCTTGAAAAGAATGGCCAGGTTCAGAGCGACAATGAATTTGTCAGTCATATCAAGTGCTATATATGAAATATGATTCATACACTGAAACTTAATCCACAGTATGGTGGTATTCAGAGAGAATTAAGTCACACAGATTAAGTACTTATGAATGGAATTAGTATCCTTACTTAAAGAAGAAAGAGAAAGAGAGCAAGAGAGAGAAAGAGAGAACTCCCTTACGCCTCCTGCTATCTGATAACACAATAAAAAAATCCACTGTCTATGAACCAAGAAATGCTGGTACTCAGATCTTCAACTTCCAAGCCTCCACAACTGTGAGGAATAAATGTCTATTGTTTATAAGCTGCCCAGCATACAGTAATTTGTTACAGCAGCTTGACTAAAGCAAAACAATATATAATTTAGACTTTACCCTGAAAACTATGAGAATCCATTAAAAGTTTACAGGCCAGAGAGATATAATGATGATCTTTATGCTTTATGAAGAAGACTGAGATAGTTCTAGAAAGAAGAAATGTCTAGTAGGTGACAGTGTATCTCTAAGTTGGTGATCAGATTTAATGTGTATAGCAGTAACAGATGACAATCATTTTTCTTTTATGTTTAAGAATATTCAAAATCATCCATGTAATAGAAGGACACTTACTAACCTTATACTATAATCTTCAGTGGTAGAATTGATCATAATTCACAGATCTAGTGATTTATGCTGCTGCCTGTAATTAACCTGCCTACTAATATACCATTAGCAGTTACAGTGATTAACCCATTCCTCAATAAATATTTATTAAGGATGCAATATTTGCCAGGTCTGTGTAGGAGCTGAGGATACAGTGGTGAAATGGACATGTCCTCTGACTTCAGAGAGTTCAGAAATATTGTAGGCAAATCAGACTTCATGCAAATGATAAAAAGTATATAATAATGAATTATGGCAAGCCCCCTGAAGAACAGGGCACTTAATTTGCCTAGAACAGTGGTCAGGAAAAGCTATCCTAAGGTAGTATAATTTGGGGGTTCAAACGGATGAAAGAATGGTAAAGAATAGTATGGAAAAGGACAGGAACAAGCTGGTGGAACAGAAGGGAAGCAAGGGGAACAGAAGTCAGTCCTGAGAATCCCAGAGGAAAATGCATGCATGGACATGGCACTTCATTGAAAGAACTGGATGACAACTGGACTTTCCAAAATGAAAGTCCAGGAAGTGTGAGTCCATTGAGCAGGTCATCAGCATAGGTGGTAGGAAGTGATGGCCAAGGTGATATCACTGATGCTAGGAAAGAACAGAAAGAGCTCTGATGAAATTTCTGAGCTAGAATCAATGGAAGCAAGAGGAAGCCACTATGTATGCTGCCAATGATTTGGCTGCTGTGACCAGTTTTGTGATGACAGGATTGAACAGGTGGGAAACACAAGAGAACCAGCAGGTTGTAAGGGGGAAAAGAATGATTTTGATTTGAGGCAGGTTGTCTCAAAGTAGCGATGGAATATCAAACTGAAAAGGTGTTTCTGGAGCTATGGAGAGAACAAATGAAAACCCAATTACCATTCGGTCACGTGTTGAGACTGGAGGTTGATATTTAGAGCCTCGAAGGGAAAAGGTAGGCGAGGGATCTCTGAACAAATCAAAAGCTCCGGAGAGGGACGATAGGACGGGAAAAGAGGGCCAAGACTTCAAGAAAATTTAAGGAAGACTAATGAATGCCAGAAACTATAGCTTCTTTAAAAATCGACAAACAGTGGCTGACTGAAAACATTAGGTAACTGGAGAAACAACAGGAAAGTAACAACTCTCTAAGGAACAATAGCTGATTCAGAATATGATCGCCCTTTTAATTAAATTGCCATGATTACTTAAGCACTACTTAAGCGTTAAAGGTGAGTTATAGCCTAAGCATCTCTCTGAGACTACTACTGACTCTAGAGCCAGAAGAAACAAAAGTTGGAAAAAATTCATCATAACTATTTCAGATGGGTCAGTCCAACCTTATGGTTTAGTATAAATTCATTGACTGATACATTCACTGAGGACCTGGTGGGCATTCTTGTTTGTAAAAAGCTGATACTAGACTGGATTTCAACACAGTCTATGTCCACTTCACTTTCTTCAATTTCTTTTCCTTACCTTATCTTTATCGACCTGGTCAAATTGGGTTTTTACCCCCCTGGAGATACTGCACATTTAATTTATTCCAATCAAACAAATATCTTTGGCGAGACACTGTCGGACATGACATTTTGTTTGGGGCTTTATGGATATTTTATTAAGTTATAGAGTGATTGTGTCTCAAATAATTTGCATTAGAAAATTAGACTATCGTTCTTAGCCTTGAAACTCATTCACACTTCCCATCTCCACATCATTCAAAAAGACAGACAACTAATCCATTCATAAGCACTCAGGCTCTGCTATGTTTCAAGAGCTACAGGTACTCAGAGATTGCCTGTACTCAGCAGTTTCATAGGTTAGCTGACTGACAAGATATTCACACATGAGCCAGACAAGAGTAGAAAACCAGATAACAATGAAAGGTAACACAAAAAGATATAAAAATATAGTAATAAAAGACAGAGAAGTCCTCTCCCTAAATAATCCAGCAACTTACTTACAAAAAGTAAGCATTACATACTGTTAGAATTTGTTTACAAATACAATGAAATTCAGCCAAATAGTCATTCTCATCAAATATGTTTTCCACATAATATTCAATGTTTATTGCACTTTTAACGGAAACTATCTGTCTTAAACACTCAGGAGGAAGAGATACTGCCTTTCTTCAAAGAATTTGTCCATTGTATCCATGTTCCCATATCTCACTCTGAAAGACTATTGATTGTATATAATTCAAGGGACATTAACGTTCCTTTCCTACAGTTGTGCCCAGTACTGGAAGAAACCATCTTAAATAAAAGGAATTTTAAAAAGCATTGTGGAAGAACTTAGAACCATTTTCTGGGATCTCTTTTCTGTTCATTGAAGCCTGTATAATTTATCTCCTTTTGATTACTTACCAATAGGTACAAATCTTTTGTTTATGGAGTTAAGTGTGATACCAGTCCTTTGCAGTTTCATTCACTTTGTGATTCCATCACCACACCTAGCAGTAGGACCCTAAGGTCACTATTTTTCTGATAAGCAAACAGAAACAGAGGTGTCAGTGTCCTGCTAGAGGCTGGAACCCAGGTTCACAGCCAGAACAACTTTAGTCTAGACATTCCTATCACATGCCCATCCATAACTGACTATGCCTGTAGCTTAATGGTTTAGTGGCTGCAAATCACTGACGAATATGATAAAGCAAATTTAAAGACTCATTAAAAAAAAACCCAGCAGGTTGTCCCTCGTAAATCTGATTGACAGCTGCATAAATGCAGCACTTACATTGAGTATTAAGGACTTAATTAAGATACTTATGACTCTGGCATAGAACTGACTCAAACTTCAGCATGTAGTAACTCTACACTCAAAACTTTCTGGTCATTTCTTTAAAAGTATGTCCTCAGAAGGCTTCCTTAGATTCCGCGTCTTCTGCTTTACTTTTACACAAAAGTAACCACAGCAACTGTAGCACCATGCTTGGTACATACACATTTCAACAGATACTTGTTGGATGAATAAGTGTCAGATTTTTTGATCAGCAGTCTAGGGATAGGGAAATAGAAATGAGGACTCCTACTTTCACAGGACTCTCAGCCAGACAGAAAAACAATTGGCTACATGTAAATATATGGTTAGAATTATGTCTCAGTAATAGAAACACA